AGCAACAAATCATCTCAGCATGACTGAGAGAGTCATCCCATCAGCACTATTCAAAGCCTGACTAACACGCCCTCCACTCTGCTGCCAGGCTCTACCTGCCAATCACATCATCACCTTTTGCCCTGCTAACGCCTGGAGCTCATTATTCCAGACAGTCTGCAGAAAAACAAACAACACAAAAACTTAAGATGTTACTAATGCCTTTTTCACACTTGCAGAAATTCACAGTCTGAGTGTCATGTGATCACACAAACAGCTCAATGTTTGGGGGGGGTGACTTTTATTCCCTGTGATCGCTGCACGACTGTCCTCTCTGTCCTCTCTGTCTTATATGTCCTCTCTGTTCCCTCTGTCCTATCTGTCCTCATTTTCCTCTTTGTCCTCTCTGTCCTCTCTTTCCTATCTGTTCCCTCTGTCCTCTCTGTCCTCTCCTGCACAGATCATTAAAATGTCTCCACGCTGTAAAACAAGCTAACAAGCTGTGCAGTGTCAGTGCTCTGTGCTCTAATGAACCTGCTGCTGCATGTTTGTTGTTTTCCAGTATGTTCTTCTCCACTCTTTAGTTCACATTGAGATTCTCTTCAACTACACGTAGCATTGATACAAAGACACATATTCTCATTACAGCATCGAATAGAGGAGTCTGCTGCTTCTGTGTTGTTTTTTAACCTCAGGAGACGTTTTCTTGGAGTTGACGTGACATTAACAACATGTCAAATAATTTAAAGGATTGATTTCAAATAAATACCAAAAACAAATTCAACTTAAATGTGCATAAAAATAAGTCAAATCAAATATCTAAACTTGATAATAAATAAAATTACACAATAAGGACAGAGACTTTAATCAGCGGCCACATCAAATCATTTAATGTAACATATCAATGTGTGCTCACTTTTTATCTTTGTATGAGGTTTAACATATGGAAATAAATGATCTTATATTTGGGAAGAATTTAGAGAATCTCTACCGACTAGAGCACCATCTCAATGTGTAATAAAACAAGTAGGAAGAGAGAGCGTTTACTGTAACGGACTTTATATCCCAGTTTATGTAAAAGGTGTTCATATAGCAGGAGGGGTTTTCTGTGTTGCTGTGTTTATTATGTCGGGCTGCTGTTTGTGTAGATGTACACATGTACTGGGACACAGTGTCATAATTGTTTCCTATTACACCTTTCTCTCCAATTTGCAGCGATGGAGTGGGATTAGACAGGCCATCAGACATGATGTAAAGTATGATGTCAGCAGCGGGAGAAAGACATCTGGGACCTGACTGGGGGTCAGCTGTAATCAGATCTGTCATTTACAGCAGCTCTGCTCGATGACTGCTGCATTCTCACCAAGCTCCTGTGTGTAAATGATTCAAGTCTCATTAAAAAAAGTAATAAGTGCAGCATGGATCCCGTCATGAACAATGTAATTGCCTTTGCACTGTTTGTAACAAACCATATTTCCATGGAGGAATGTGACGGGGGAAACAGTGGGGGAGGCAGCAGCAGGCTGGCAGCTGAGCAGAGAAAAACACAGTAGCTGATGAGCTGAGAGGTAGCTATCAGCAGAGCTGTGATCAGAGCCATGCTGCTATGCCTGAGTGCTGTATATGTGCATTGTGTGGGTGCTTTTTGTGTGAACAATTCTACATGGTTTTATGTCTTAATACATTTGTTGGCCATTTGTGCCCATGGGGTCACATTGCAGCTAATGGGAGAAATGGGAGGTTATGGGGGGGATGCAAAGTGTACAAATCACTTTGAAGCAGGTTATATATTTATGCAGTATTTTTTAAAGCAGTTTCAGAAGTTTCTCTAGCACAGCAAGGTTTCAGAGCCTGCAAGGAGAAGATAAAGTCCAGCATTTATTCAACAGTAGGGCTCTCTCCTTCACTGTAGATCACGGGGTGAGGAGGGATGAACACGGTGGGCTTCTGCAGCAACGGCAAGCGTTTTAATCTGCACAAACAATATGGGAAGAAAAAAATGTTTAAGGGGATTCTCATTAAAGTGTGGTCATGGGTTGTAATTTAAGGCCCCTGGTTCTATTTAAGTGGCGCAAAGAAAAATGCAACCCAGAGGAAAGGTGAGTAGTCTCTCATTATCCCCCATGGCTGCCTGACTCCGTAACCAGAGTGCCTATACATCAGTCTTTGTGCTTTGATTAATTGTCTTTGGCCCGCTGCGTCAGAGTCATTCAAGACATTTTCTTCTTGTTAAATCTTCATGGCTCTCAATTAATGATGAGGTGTTCATGAGGGCTTGAATCAGCCATAAAGGAATCATTTGAAATGTGTTGAAATGCAGTTCTGCTGGAAGTCACCCCCTAAATAAAAACTTGCCTTCTTTAGTTTTTTCTTCTTTCTTTTTTGCATGTGTGCCTTGTAATGATAGGACAGCTGAAGATTGAAAGAGGATGTAAGTGCATCGACGACTATAAAACTCGTTTATAAGATGCTAAAATGCTAAATGCTAGATTGCTTGCTTTTCTATAGAAAATCTGGAATCAGCATCTTAGGAACACAGGGCCATTTCTCCACACCAGACTGCACATCTAATCTCTTGTGCCTCAATAAACAGGTGGGATTTGGCCTCTGCTCGCAGATGAGAGACGGCTTTGACTCAAGTGGACACTAATAAGTGAGCCAACATGGCTGTGAGAAGCAGAACATGTGGTAATCACTGTGTTGAGTTTTGACCTGCAGAGCAATCATTACTGAAGAACACAACAGACTTTTATTTTAGAAACAAGTTCAGCTTGTCTTTTGAGGCCAAAAGGAGACTTGATGCTGCTACCATCATGTCTGTGCTGGACTATGGCGATGCTGGACATGCATGCATCATTGCAATGCCTACATGCTCCGGATTCTGTCTCATGGGGCACTGAGATTAATCACCAATCTTAAAGCCCTGAAGGTCCTGACACACCAAGGAGATCCTCGGTCCTAGTTGGACACAGCAAAGATACAGCAAAGTTTCAGCCTCAACATGACATATGGCACAGGATGTCACACCTGTATATTTCCAAGCAGGGACAACAGTCAGGACATGGTGGAATCAAGATGTCTGATGACCTCATATACTCTTAAAATGTCCATTAATACCATTTCTGTTGCAAAGTCTTTCAAGCTGTATTCCTGACACTAGTTCATTAACCCATCTAGAAAAACAGGGGGCGCTAGTGGCTTTCCATTCATTTAGAATTATTCTCTTTGCCACTAACATACCCAACATGAGAGTCTTCTGCACAGTATCTGGGAGTTTAAGAGAGGCTTCAGAGCAGCCAAACAAGGCGATCAATGCATCAGGTGCAACGTTCAAATTCTACATTTTACAGTACCAGTCAAAGAGGGACAGTCTTTGGACATGACCACAATGCATGCCCTAACGTATCCTTTCCTATATTGCATCTGTCACAAGTTTCAGAAACATCAGCATACATTTGGTTCATCTTTTCTTTGGAATAGTGTAATCTATGTTTAACTTTGAACTGAATCAGTTTCAGCCTGGTGTTGATTGAACCTTGGTGGATCCTCCTCCCTCCACACTGCCTGAGACAGCTCTAAGACAAGATCCGCCTCCCAGCCAGTTTTGATGTGATCAAATGATACAGGATTCATATTGGAGAACATAAGACACATTTTGAGATGAGATGTTTACCTTTGGGCTGTTTGCGTCATTAATAGGTTACATAAAATGCGTGTTCACTAGGGAAACTTTCAAAATGTTTTAAATTATTCTTAACATAATTTCTGACTTGTAAATAAAGACAGAAATAGGGTTGCGGAAGGGAGTACATTTCTTTCAGTTCTCTAAAAGATGCACAATTATTATTTATATACAGATCTGCAATTGTCCTTTATCTTACCAGTGAGTAAATGCTTGATCAGATTTGGATGGAAAAAAATTATGATTAAAGCAAGTAGGACAGTTAAAGAAAATTCAGGTGCTTGAATCAACTTTTTCATTTGTTTTAGTATTTTGATTGAATTATGCAGGACACAGTTGTCTTCCACCTGTTTTAATGGATAATCTTTTGTGGGAAACAGGAAGCTGAAATATAACTGTTTCTCACTGCCTGAGACTCCATTTGCATCCACTTGGGTATAGGCCTATTTTGAACCACACTCGTTTGGGGGAACTGGTCTTGCCAATATATTAAGGCTCTAGCATTAGCTGGACAGTAATAATGTTGGAATATCGAGAGAAAACCAAGTGAAACTTTTTGACCAAGACAAACGACGACGCCACAGGAGGCCTTCGTCACCGCACTGTTGCTGTTTGTGCTGCTGTGATAAAAACGTCTTGTAAATTATAATCGGATACATTAGCTCGTCTGTAAACATATTCTCTTTCTCAGGTCGGTTTCACCTGGTCGTTTTGACTACAGTCAACTGAGAGTTTGTTTTCATCAGGGTGGGGGAGTATCAGAGAGAATCACTCCCATGATTCGCTGCCAGCCTCGACGTCTTCTTTTGTTATTGATTTGATTGAGAGCCCCCTGGTGGTGGATTTTACAAACTGTACGTTTAAATAAAATGAAAAATAAAAAACCGACATGTCATCATGTGGAACAGTCTACTGGGATGCAACATCTTTTCTTCTTTGATATCAAAAACATGTTCAAAACCTCAAATTAAAACATTTCTGTTCAAACTAACATTTTAAAAAGCTTGCAATGTTTTTTTTTAATTCCCTAAATCTGCTTTTTAAACCCCAGAATCATATTTTCTCGTTCATTGATGAAAATGTAATCTTGCATTAAGGCTTCAATCAAATCTCATTTCTTTTCTTCAGCTCCTCTCGATTGGTTTGTGAAAGAACACACATTGCCTATGATGTGCCTTCAGTTCATACACTACAAAGCAGAAGACACTTCCGTGCGTCTTTGCAGCTCTCTCTTATTTACACTGAACACATGCAGCTTCCTCGTACATTTACCGTCAATTCAAATGTAATTAACATTGCTTGTTGACTATTTAAGCGGAGGCTCATCAGAGAAACTCACATCTTTTTAAAGTCGCAGCCAGTGAATTCAGGCCAGTCGATGTAGCACACCACGCGGTCGGGGAGCTGGTGTGTGGTGGAGTAGTAGTACTGAGGGAAGGCCAGGAGCAAGGCAAGCACCCAGATGACACCCACCACCACCTTGGTCTCTGTGGACGACATGCGCTGCTGAAGAGGGTGGATGATGGCCATGTACCTGTGAGGGTAAAGGAGAGAGGAGACGAGGTGATAAGCATTGACTCCAGACAGTAAAGACATCTATGAGTTCCTAACGCATCAACATCTTTATCAATCAATCAATCACATTTATTTATAAAGCACATTTAAAAACAGCTGACCAAAATGTTGTACATGAAACAAGAGAGCAATACAGAATAAAAAGCAAAACAAAAACAACAAGGCAAAACTCACACATTAATGTTTGCCTACAAACAGAATACTAACAATATAATTAGACAATAATATTATAAGACATTTGATAGAAGTACGTTGGAAAGAAGTACAAGCAACCTAACTAGGACTCAAAAGCCAACGTGTAAAAGTGTGTTTTGAGGCGGGACTTAAAAGATTCCACAGAGGGGGCAGACCTGACTGAGGGAGGAAGGCTTTTCCACAAGCAAGGGGCCTTGGCCGCGAAAGGCTTGGTCACCTCGAAGTTTATAGCGAGCGTGAGGTACAGCTAGGAGGCCCAAGTACAATTCATCATGTTCTTATTGAGTTGGATGAGATTGATAAAAAATGTTTAGCTTGCTCATTCATCATGTAAATAAAGAGGGCCAGGATTTATCTGTGGACGGCTGTGACTCAGTGGTGGACTCGTTTCTCAACCGGAAGGTCAGGGGTTTGATCCTCATAGATACAGTTGGTATTGCGTCATAGTTGGAGGAAACTAATCCTTTCTCCCAGCCACCAATAATTCAAACACACTGATTTTAAACTTTGATGCTAGCGCTCACAAGCTGTCATATATTGATTTATTACTGTAAATTGACAAAGAATGGTATATTAATGAACTGAACAGAATAGGGTGGAATTGTTGTCCAATACATTTTAAAAGACCGGACGAATGATCCAACTAAACGGCCCAAAATTCCCAGATATCTTTATTACCTGGTTGAATAATATAATATCAGTATCCAGGTACCAGACAACCATTAACACTGAATACAATAGCATGTTTAGTTAATTCCATACAACTGCTTATTACTACTATTATTGAATTGTATATTGTTAACTTTAAGAATAAGGGTTAGGGTTAGTGTGTGAATGTATATGAATGGATGAGTTAATATTGATGGTCTCTTTACTCAGCAGCCTCTACCATCAGTGTGTAAATGTGTATGAATGGATGAGTTAATACTGATGGTCTCTTTACTCAGCAGCCTCTACCATCAGTGTGTGAATGTGTATGAATGGATGAGTTAATACTGATGGACTTTATACTCAGCAGCCTCTACCATCAGTGTGTGAATGTGTATGAATGGATGAGTTAATACTGATGGACTCTTTACTCAGCAGCCTCTACCATCAGTGTGTGAACGTGTATGAATGGATGAGTTAATACTGATGGACTCTTTACACAGCAGCCTCTACCATCAGTGTGTGAACGTGTATGACTGGATGGGTTAATACTGATGGACTCTTTACTCAGCAGCCTCTACCATCAGTGTGTGAACGTATATGACTGGATGAGTTAATACTGATGGTCTCTTTTACTCAGCAGCCTCTACCATCAGCATGTAAATGTGTAATCTGCAGTTGTTTGCTGGTAATCGTAGTTTCCTGACTTGCTACAGTAGATGATTTTAACTGCACAAGGATGATATAAAATAACCTTATCTAGAAAAGTGACTCAAATTTCTTACAGTAATTATGTGTGTAGAAAAAAGTTGCAGCCCAATCTCATTTATCTCATAACAAATGAAGCTCATTAAAGTTCAAGCAGGAAGTCTGTTTCTCATTCATCACTCCGTCTGTCTCTTTGTCTTCATCATCTATCTACGATAGCAGCTCATGAGTATTTCCTCTTCTCAGTATTAAACCAATCACATTCTGCTGAGACCACCAGCAGACAGAGGTCTTGCTGCTGTCAAACTTTCCTCCACCCCAGTCCCCTTTGATACGCTCATTAGTGTGGGGGTTGAGTTCTTTTGATGTCCACCCTGTCATCAAGTCCTTCCCCCTCCTTCACCACCACCACCACCACAGACTCCATCAGGGGGTCTCACATCCTGCTCTCAGCCTTTCTACGCTTTTTGATGACAAGAAGACGTCATAATGGGGTCTTAATGCAAAGAAACATTTTAATTCTTTAAAGCTTTCATAATAAAGGTTCTTCTAACTAAAGTCACGAGATTTGTACATAAGTTTGTTTTGTTCATCTGCAGGCAAACGAAGATAAAGAGTTGTTGATAGAAAAAAAACATTTTCAATTATAACTAAAAGTGAATTAAACCATAGTGTTGAAAGTGTGTGAACATTGACTCATGAACTCATGAGAGTCATGAACTGATAATAGATATTCTGAAGTGAGAATCCTGCTGAGTATTATCAATGAATCAATGGTGTGACTCATGGGGGTTGTAGAAGTGAGTATAATTTATGGAGACTGGAATATAATTGGGTAATAAAATTAATTTTCTGAATGAAAGTGAGTTTGATCGGGACAGGATGATTAAAGTGATCTCTCCAGAGAGGTCATTTTTACATCTACCTCCAGCAAGTATGTTGTATTTAATCTTTTTATATTCAAGACTAGTAATGCTGAGTTAATATGCTGGTTGTATATATTCTCATTCTTAGTTTTGATATTTTTAGTGCTTATTTACTTTGTATTTAATATTATATTGTGTTTATTTGCTAATATTGTGTGTTTGTATAACCTGCTGCTGTAACGCCACAATTTCCCAGTTTTGGATAAATAAATTAATTCTATTCTATTCTATTCTTTTCTATCAATGACTAGAACTTACATTGATCACAATTTAAACTGAACCTAGAGAGAAATTCTGTTTATTTGATGGATAGCCTCTTGAGATGAACCATCTCGTTTTCGAGGGGGTCCAACCTGACAGAACATGTTTAAGACACATTTCAACATCTGTCGAAATATTATTCTCATCATGTCAGGAGAAAACATTGATACTTCTGCTGACTTATTTTCAATCCTCTGCAGAGATTTTTGATTCTAGTTGACATTTTACTTTTTATACTTTACATTTAAATCCTTAAATTCTTGATTTTATTTTCCTATCATGAGTTCAAATTCCGTATTTATTCAGTCAGTTGATGATTTAAAGCAGAATTGATTTGCACAAAAACACAAACACATTTTCATTTCGGTATCTGATGTATTTAAAACCCTGAACACACATATGATGCCTGACGGCAGTCTGGACCATTTAACTGTATTCTGCACATTTTATATCCAGTCCAGTGAAAATGATAGATCACTGCCTCTGCAGTGGCTTGGCTTCAAACAGGACTAGAAGCCATGAGGTTTCCTGATGTCACAATCAAACACACACCTGCAGACAGCCCTCGACCTACTCAGCAGCCCAGATCCTCATCTCGCCTGCTGGTATAGAAGCAGTCCCATTTAGTGCTTTCTGAAAAAACTGTACAGCAACCAGAAGACGCTGGATTAAAGACAGGTGTTTCAAAAAATAAAGACAAAAATCCAGGTTAAATCAAAACTAATTAGAGATATGAAATGTAAATTAAACCTCAGCCAAATAGCTGCTGCGCTAACTACAATTAAACTAGATTTACAGGTAACTAGAAAACTCCTAAATAACTTTAAGGAAAGGATGTGCGACATGTTCCACATAAATAAATCATAAATCAAGTCTATCCTGTGTAAATGTGTCTCTGAGTCATGACTGTCTACAATGAGTGAGAAGCTCGAGTGCCGCTAGCTGTGTTGTTGTCAGAGCCGTGTTTACATGGACGGGACGGCCGGCTCCTCCCCTTGTGTATAAAAGCTGTTTTAGTCAAGAACTAGAGAGAAGAAGAAGAACATACTCACTGATTATTTGGATGTTAGTAAGAGTTTTTATATCACGCTCGTTCTGTGTTTTAACCTTGCACACGTGTTGTCGTGACATTCTTACCAATACTGGTGATCATAAATAAATGGAAAAGAAAAGGAATAACACAAAGTGATGAGGGGCTCTAACAGAGAGAATCCATCTGGACTGAAATCTGGAGGGCATTAATTTAAGCCCAGCACAAAACTAAAGATTTACGAAATCTGAAACGTGAAAATGTGCGAGCCCACACAACAACAAATCGTGACAGATTCAACTCTTCAGTTCTCATCGTGTGTGGAGAGCAACGAGATGACTGACTCTGCACGCCACACGCTAACAGATTCATCCAAATACAACCAGAGTCTCCACTCACAGAACGTGTAATCCCACGTTGTCAAACACATGAGCATGCTAAATGTAGCTACCTGCTACATCTGTCTGACTCTTTTCCTTGACAGTTGGATTGTGGAATGTTTTACAGGACACGTCTTATAAAGCCTGCTGTAGCTCCTGGTTTATTCACTAAAACAGTCTCTGCAGTCCCACACCCTAAGTCACTTTAAGAGAGGGATTTCAATTGAATGGATTAGTCTTTGGAGAGCTCTGCGAGCGCCCCTGTGTCTTCCTCCCTTTAGATTCCTATCCCTAAAAGCACACTTACATCTCCTGTTTGTGCAAAAAATCTAATTTCTCTCAATAGGATGCAGCCAGCACTTGATTGCATGGGTAACATTCAACTCCAATTACCCACCAAGAAGACCTTATCTTCCATGGCAATGCAACAGTTCGATATAAACACCATGAGCCTGCTACACTGTGTTCCTGAAATGAGGTTAGTGATAAAGAAGGTAGCAGCTAAAGTGACAGATGAAGTGCCTGCCGACAAGCCTGCCACTGATTTATTTGTTCTCTCTTTTCTCTAAATTGCATTTGACTGTGGCTGTGATAATGTGATCATGAATTTGTTTCCTCGGGTTTACCAGCCATAAAGAGTTAAAGGTTACTCATTCCGTCTATAGAGGAGAGTTGATAGATCGTGTTGGATCGTCGTAAGTGTGTTGGAAGTAATTTCCTAATTCATAGGATAGTCACTGATGTTGCAGTTATTGTCCACATGCATGCACAGCTTAGCTCATCAGTAACCATCAGACACTACCTATAAAGT